CATGTGGGGGGGGGGGGGGCGTAAGCATATATATATATATATATATATGTAGTATATATATATATATATATAAATGTAAATATATATATATATATATATATATTGCAAAAACTACAGAAATACCACTAGGAACCCTTCAAGACCCAGCTTCGAGCTCAAAACCTTGGAGTACTACGGTTGATGATGTAAATCCTGCATTACCCGAACGACCCTAGACTGTGGGAATTATGGTAGATTCCATATTTTCTTATGGGTGATGCAGGATTTATATCGGCGACAATACGATTCCCCAGCTGTACAATTGAAAACGGGGAGAACCTCATACGGCCCTAAACCCTAAATTTTGTAATTCTATACCCAAAAGAACCCAAAACTGACTTAATTATCTGATAAACACTTCACTTATCCCTCAACCCTGCCCCAGAAATGAGCTGAACAAATCCTAAACCCCAGCCCCAAATTGAAATTTACACACCCGGGCCTTTCTTTAAACTGAGCTGAGTAAACCCTAAACCCGATCCTAAGACCGCGCCGAATAAACCCTAGTCCCTATCCCACAACTCGCCGGAATCATGAGCTTACTATTCAAATTTCTTCTGGGCGGCCTGGAGCCAGATCCAATGCCTGCAGCAGTGTGAGTTGGCCACGCGTCAAGTGTTAGAGTTTAGGGTTTAAGAGCTGACGGCCTGGGGTTTAGTTTAAGGACCTAAACTTATAATCTCTGAACCATATGCCTACATCTCGGCCGCTCCCCGCTTCAAAGGGTATGCCTACAAATCCTCACCATGCATCAACAAAGCTTGTATTGAGTTCTCGCCCATGCGCGGTTTCGAAAGGCGGATCTTCAAATTCTGCAATCTCATCAGGCAGCTTGTCTCGGCACTTTCTCCCGAAAGTGGCTTCGTCCAGCAGCTTCCGGCCGGGAAAGGGACACTAGCCCTTAGGGGTACCCTAAACAGTAGGTGCCGTATTACATTAGGGATCCAAAAAGGAACCATAATTTTGACAACTACCCAAATGCTTGATGTCAAACCGCGGCTGCTGACATTCGGCACAGACAACCTGCAACGGGAAAATGGAATTCAAACCCTCGCACAAAGACTAAATCCCAAACTCCGGATCTTTTCCTGATGCGGTAAGATCCTGTTTTGAAAGACCGCTAATATGCAGCCGTGATTGGTGTTTAGGACTAGGCAAAGCCCTAAACACACAACCATGAGGCCTACAGCCCTGAATCCAAGGCTTTAAGCCGTATAAAACTTGACTGGAAGCTCCAAAAAAGCGCATACGAAGACCTACTCGAACCATATACACTGTACATGTTCAGGAAAACATTAAACGCCCTGCTATTCAGATCTCGTAAACCTAACACAGCTTGACAAACTTTCGGGCCCCCCCGTGCCTGCAGCATCGGCATTGGATACCAGGGCCATGGCAGCATCAAGGCCTGACGAAGGCAAATGTAGGCACCGTAATAATCAGAATAGGGTTTTGGGGCATATTCTAGCTTATTCATGATAGAGAAGCATCCGGGAGAAGATTCAGGCTTGCACATACACTGGGCACACTGCCACACAGCTCAGAGTGGGTACTGTATGTATAGAAGTTTGAGCCCAAAATGTGCATTATTTGCTGTTGCAGACTTGGAGCTTACGGTTAAAGTTGTTAACATACAAAATTGAATTTAATCGTTTGACGGCTTGGGTGTGCGGGTCTGGCAGTCTATGATTAAAGCCTTGAAGCTATAGCCGCCCCAAGATGGTTTATACTAAAAGCCCTGATCTATAGCACCTCAAAAAACAAGTCCTGAACTAATTACGTAACAAGCCCTAGACTCTAGACATCACCAGAGAAAAGTTCCCAAAATATCACGAAGACCCTCACACGCCAAAAAGCCTCAACCTGAAATCCACTTACAGTAGAAGCCCAACAGTTGGAAACCCCATCGCCTCAATCCTTAAGAGTTTTGTATCGGGAATCCCAGCACTATTTGGCCTTAATCCGGTTTCCAACTTTCTGGGGTTTGCCATAAACCCTGCAAAGAAAATCCTCCACACCGTAAGCGCGTCAGCCTTGATGAAAATCAGCATCGTCCGGGTCGCCCACCTGAGTGATCCAGGGTTCAGGGTTTTCGGTGGTTTAGCCTGAGGGCTTAATATAGGGACCTTGATAAATTAGAATATTGGGGGTATATCATACCATAAACATAATAAGGAGCCCCCAAAACCCTAGTCTAACTATTAAGGCCCCTACAGAAGGGTTTAGGGCTTCCGGGGCGTGAGAGGCAAGCGCACACAGTTCTGACGGCTTCGATGTCCGGGTGATTGGACAGTTCGCAACATTCCCTTGGCTTCGGGGCGTAAGGCATTACAGCTTTGATGTGCAAACCCTAAACCCTAAACCCTAAACCCTAAACCGTTCCGACAGGGCAAGTTCTCAAGCCAAACACATTCGCAAAGGCTCCACCAAAATGTTTATGACCTAAAGATTCCGAAGCTCAAAGGGGAAAGGAGGGACGCTTAATGGGGACCCCTACCCTATAATCTATAATAGCGGGTATATAATAGCTATATTAAGGGTATATACCTAGGGGTCCTTATTAAGGATCCTCCTTTTACCCTTGGAGAAGCCATAAACTGCCATAAACCATAACCCTAACATAGTTTGTCTGAATTAGGGTCCCTTCTGGTTTAGGTCCGCGCCAGAAGTCCTTAGCCGAAATAGAGAGAGTATTCTTGCTAACCCCCTCAAGTTAAAGTTATACTATAAGAAAATATCACAAACATATCACCTAATTCCTCAGAGCAGTGAATTATGAAAAACCTGAAACCCTCAACCCCTACCTTGCCTCTCACCTAATTCCTGAGAGCAGTAAAACCTAAACCGTAAACCCTAAATCAGTAAAGAGTCTGGGTTCGGCTCCCCACGATAGGAGGGTCCGAGCATCGGAGGTCGTCAATCTCTCTGTGCTCAGGCTGATACGGTTGTGAGTTCTAGTCTTATGGGTTTAGCGTTTCGGGGTTTTAGGTTTATGGGTTTAGGGTTTTGGGCGTACGGTTGAGAGTTCTAGTCTTATGGGTTTAGCGAGGTTTAGGGTTTATGGGTTATGGGTTTTGGGCTTTGGGTTGAGAGTTCTACTCCTACAGGGGCCTTGATAATTAGGATGGGAGTCTGGTAGACAAATCCGGGACGATAAGGAGATACTCTTACTGATTTTTCCGACCTCGAGGTTCATCATTGAAGGAAACTTGGCTTGTTGTGGGAAGTAGGCGGTTTATGGTTCAGCGTTTCGAGGCTTCAGCTTGGAATAGAGGCTCTGAAGATTTGGGCTGGAAGCACGTTCTATATTAGGAGCTGCCCCCACCCTGTAATAGTGGTATAATAGGAATGTAATGGCCCTAGTATAATCCTTATAGTCACTATTACAAGGTGGGGGGCAGCTTCTAAAAGTTGTATGTGTCTCATGCTATTGAGGCATGCAGCAGCTGTAGCCGAAATAGCCGGGCAGGTCACGCAAGTGTTGGTAAACCCCACGACTCCTTGGGCTGAGCGCTAAACCCGAACCTACGTTAAGCTTAAACGAATTCTAGACCCAAGAGTAACCTAGGAAGAAAAAGGGTGCCCTTTTTGGTTTCAAGGGGCTTATAGGGGAACCTGAACCCTAAAAAAGGGAAGAAGGGCCTGCTGTAGGTCCTAGAATTCTCCTTGTTCTAATCTCTCCAACTCCTCGTCGGGGGGTGTTGGGAGTTCTGTTTGATCGCGAAGGTTGACTCGTGCAGAACAAGCACCCTGAACCGCAATATCTTGAAACCGCGAAGCTCTTTACCCTTAACAAGCAATGACTTATACAGAAGCCGTAGTTATAGAATCCTGGATAGTCCCCTTAAAGGAGCCCGAAGAGGAACCGCGAACCCCCTTAAACGTTAAACGTTAAACCCTAAAACACCGAAATCTCTAAGCAGAGGCGCAGTTTATTACAACCGAAACCCTAGAGCCCCAAAACCCTGAAGCTCACCACGGTCTAGTTTCCGGTTCTTTAGGGTTTTTCGGGTTTAGGAGCTATGATGCTTTAGGGTTTAAGGCTTTTTGGGTTTACGGGGTTTCGGAGTTATGATGTTTTAGGGTTTACGGTTGAGGGTTTTAAAGCGTTTCGGGGCCGAAAGCGGCACCTAGACATCAACTCTTGCAGCTAACGTCCCCATTAGGGCCAGGTTCGCTTCTGCGACGCATGAAGTCCACAATGCCAAGCCCCTAAAACCCCTAAACCCTATAACCCTGAACCCTAAAACCCCTAAACTCTAAACCCCTAAAACCTAAACCCTACACCCCTAAACCCTAATCCCTAAACCCCTAAACCCTAAACCCCTAAACCCTAATCCCTAAACCCTAAAACCCCCAGACCCTAAACCCTAAAACCCCTAAACCCTAAACCATAACACTGAGGCTCTAGACCCTGAACTCCTAAACCCTGCAAAGGAAACCCGAACCTCCTAATGTAGGAACCTGATTCATGTAGGAACCTTAGGGTTCCTTTAAAGGGATCTATAAGGGTGCTATAATAACAATGGAGCCTGATTAAGAAACCTTGGGGCCTTTATCCGGGCTCCTTATATGAATCCTAATAAAGTGGGGCTATAGGCCCAAGGTTTCTTAATCAGGTTCCTACATTATGTCACGACACTCGAAACCCCCACAAAATCACTTTTAGCCATACAGGTCTCTGGAAAATGAAAAAAACACTACATTTGACACCCTTTCTGCCCCTAAAAACCATACAGCACCCGCAACAAAAACACTTGCAACCTCCCCTCCCACAACAAAAAAAAACGACCCCTGAATGCCGTTCATGGAAGCAGGAAAGGAGCGATCAGAACCTTACTTACCCAATAGGCCACAGAAATGAAAAGTTAAACTTTCCGATTCCTACCAATTTTAAGAGCCCAAAATGTTGAAAGGTTGGGCATTGGGGATCTAAGGAACTAAGAAAGCCAGGGCCTCGCCTGAGGCACGTGAACTGCGGGGTAGGGGCCGGGGGAAAGCTCCGAGCTCTCGGAAGCAGAAGCCAGCTTCCAGGGAGTCACCTACACGGCTTTGGGTTTTGGGTTAGGGTTTAGGGTTTTTGTTTAGGGTTTAGGGATTAGGGTTTTGGGTTTAATTAGGGTTTAGGGTTTAGGGCTTAGTTAGGGTTTAGGGTATGTATATATATATATATGTATATATTCACCTACACGGCTTGGGGTTCTGGGTTAGGGTTTAGGGTCTAATTAAGGTTTAGGGGAGTAGTTGTCAACATTAGAGTCCCAGATTGGGTACCCTAAATAGTAGGTGCCGCATTATCATCAGGACCAAAAAAGGGACCATAATTTTGACAACCACCCACATGGTTTGGCTTTGCGGTTTGCAGGGTGCCGGTTTGAGCTTTAGGGCTTAGGTTTTAAGATTAAAACTTGGGAGTTTCGGAAAATAGGGGACCCTAATATAGTACCCTAAATAGTCGGATCCTTATTATAAGGGCCCCAAAATAAGGTACGCCCAATTTGCGTAAACTCCCACTTACAGAGAGTCACCTTCAGAGCACTGGGTTCAGGCTTTAGGGCTTCGGATCAAATCTTCCAGGCAGCCACCTTAAGAGTCCTACGGTTGATGATACAAACCCTGCATTAACTTGATGACTCTAGACAGTGGGAATTGCGGTTTGCCATGCAGGCTTCATATCATCCGCCGTAGGTGTACAGTAAACCCCATAAAGTTGGAAACCGGATTAACGCCAAAGAGTGCTGGGATTCCATATACACTACTCTCTAGGATTGAGGCTATTGGGCTTCCAACTTTTGGGCTTCTACTGTAGGGCCCCCTAAACTCTAAACCCTAAACCTTCGGGTCTCGGGTTTAGGGTTCATGCTTCCAAGAGCAGCCTCCAGGCTCTTCTTTATTGGCTCGAGGGACCTCTTACCCAGAGACTCCAATATGGGAGCTTCCGGAAATTAGGGGTACCTTATTTGGGGGTCCTTATGGTAAGGATCCTACTATTTGAGGTACTATATTTGGGTCCCCTATCTTCGGAGACTCCAATATCCCTTAACTAAGGAATATACCTTAGCCTTAAACTATAGTAGGATCCGGTATATGATTTAAGGAATATTCCTTAATTCAGGGATATCGGAGTCCCTGGGTAGTGAGAAATATCAGAGGGCACTTGGAGGTCCTGGTAAGCCAGGGCCGCAAAGTATGATACTATAGGGGCCTGAATAGTTTGAATAGGCTTTTGGGCCCCATAATATTTTAAAAATAAAAAGGAACCCCCAAAATAGTATAGGTAGTTATTAAGGCCCCTACATTATATAAGCCACTGGAGCCACAAAGACTTTCTCTTGGATCCTCTGAGGCCTCGAGCTTAGTAGATCCGTGCAGAGACAATGCCTCCAGCCCGTCGAGCCACTACTTCGAGGACCACGGGACTTAGTAAGTAATTAGGTTAGATTTGGGGTTATTAGTCCCTTAGTCGGGTTACAGTATATCCTACTTATCACCTTACTTACTAAGTCCCATCCGCTGTGAACTAGCCCATGGACCACGCAAACTTGACACCGCGAACCCCTTACTCCCAACTCAAGACGTCCCTAAAGGATACTTAAAATTTATAATACCCTCAAAAAGGCGCTGAAACCGCCCTTATAGGAACCCTTCGAAGGCAGCCGCAAGAGATCTAGGCAGAATTCTCCCCAGATCAGGTGCCTTCCACATGCCCTGCCGCACCTGGCAAAACAGTCCAGTGATACAGGAACTAGGGGTTTAGGTTGGGTACTGCCCCCACTCATTAACAGTTGGATAATCTTTATAAAATAGATATATTAGGCCCTTAATAGTAGCCCTATTATAGACTGTTGCTGTATGGGGGCAGTACCCAAGGTTTAGGGATTAGCCTTTAGGGTTTAGGGGCTTCGGTAAAGGCGGAACCCTCACCTCTAAGCCCTGAGCCCAAAGGCCTAAACTCTAAAACTTAGCCCCAAAAGCCTTCATTGTTAAAAGGGTTTAGGGTTTAGGGTTTAGGGAAAATCACCGCAAAGTTCAAATGCTGTGGAACTTCAAGACTTTAGGGTGCTCGGCCTGTTGTTTTACGTAACGGCCCAAGGGACTTGGTGAGTAAAGAAGCAAGGCGGGTGCTAGTTAGGAGCACCCTACTCAGGGCAAGTATAACCCAACTATGACCCTACTTACTAAACCCCTTCAGCCCTGAAGAAGGGTGCTTTGAGGCCCCACTAGGGGCTCTGTAATGGTCCCAGACAAGGACTGTAAAGGTTAGGTCGTTGAAACTAAGGGTGGCGAAATGCTATATGGTAGTTACTTGCGGTTGGCCAGCGATTCATAGACCCTTTTACAGAGAAACAAATTGGGGTTCTGGGGTTTAAGGTTTTGAAGTTTGGGATTTAGGGCTTTGGGGCTTTGCGTCTGGGGTTTTTGGGGTCTGGGGTATAGTGCGCTGATGAGCGACTCAGGCAAAGAAGAGACATCCAAATTCAAAGCTGTGATTACCCTGCTCGGCACAGATCATCAGTGTGATTGCCTTGAGGGGTCCAGTGGCCTTTTGCTGAACGACTTTTCCTGGTTGATGAGCCCCCATGGAAGAACCCTAAATCCTGAACCCCAAAGGATATGATGGCAATCATCACCCTTGGCCCTCAAACAGGTTCATACTTCCTCTTCACGGAACTTTACCAGGAACCCCTCAATGGCCCTTGGTCCTTCATAGTGGGTACTTAGGGTATATTAGAGGGTAGTTGGAGGATCTTCAGCAAACCTAAGGAAACCTTAAGCCCTAAAGCCAAACCCCTGCAGGATCTATCTCTGGGAAATGGGGGTTTGGGGGGACTATATTACTTCAAAATACGATACGGCACCCCAAAAAACAGTGTTGCAAAGTATTCGGGCGTGTATATTGAACCTGGGAAGGAATGCTGAAACTGCCATACCTGACCTGTTGTACCATCAACCCTGAAATACTTAGTTCCCCAGAGAAGACTTTGTTCCCCAGAAACCCTTGAATGGAAGGACTTCTTTTTCTAGGTGCCATTTCACTTTGTGCCAATGGTCGTTTTCAACCGTCTCCAAGATAGGGCTCTACATTACATATTAATGGAACTTAAGCTTTTTCCCAAGCCAGGTAGCTTCTTGATATTTGATATTGCTGCGCTAAAAACCCTGAACCAAGGGAAGGACATCCTCAGGTTCGACCAGTTTAGCTTAAGACACTAGCCTGACCCGAACAAGAAACCTCCTAAACCAAACCTAAAACATCATAATACTGTATCTTAGTTGCTGAATTCATAAGCCCCCCCACAAGTATACACTTTTAGTTTTATAGTGGGTAATATATTAACCCAAGAAGTGTAAAGTGTATATATCCACTCAGCTACTCGGATCATAAGACTAGGCCCTCTAATAGAGCCCTTATGGCGCTTAATAGTTGTTATTTGGGGTATATTAGAGGGTAGTTGGGGGGTCTAGGTAAACCATCATAAGACTGTATGAAACCCTAAACCCTAAACCCTAAACCCACCCTCCGGGGCTGGCGCACTGGGTGCCTTCTCAACGGCAAACATGAACTATTCCTGCAAAGTCCTCCGGGTGATAGGGTATAGGGTTTCGGGTTGCCTGCAAAGTCCTCCGGGGGATAGGGTAGGGTTTCGGGCTACTTGGGTTAGGATTGTTTGCAGGGCATTGGAGGCCTTCGGACTTGGGGGGGAGGGGGGGGGGTAGAGGTTTAGGGTTGAGGGCGTATGGTTTATGTGGGAGTTTCCGAAAATAGGGGACCCTAATGTAGTACCCTAAATAGTAGGATCCTTACTACAAGGACGCCAAATAAGGTACCCCTAATTTTAAGAAACTCCCATGTGGGTTTTTCAAAGTATAGCAATTTATTTTTCAGGCTCGAGGTTCTGCTTGTGTCAACATAGGAGAAGGACGATGGTTTCCTAGGTGTGCTCTACCAATGCGGTGTGAGCTTGCTGGTATCTTCAGGTATTCGGGCTCTAGAGTGGAATGTAGCACAATCCAGCATAGAATAGTATATGCAGTATAGATTGGTTACTGCCCCCGGACAGTAGCAGTCCCAAATGGGACCACTATCACGGGATATGGTGCTGCTGGTCCAGTCAAGTCAAACATCATTTAATGCAAAGCTTGAAGATGATCTGCCGAAACAAAGAATCCGCATTGTTCGCAAAAAGCCATCATCCTGCAGGTCGTGCTGGGGAAGCAACTTCCGCTGCACTTTCCTATCATGGCTTTCTCTGATTGCAGTAACAGTAACACCCTGGCTTTCCTGCAAAGGAAAAACACGTAGCAAGCAAGTCCACAGCATGGCACACTGCCATGCAGGAGAACTTGTGCCGTTGAGAACACTCATCTTAACACATCCAAAGCTCCTACAAATATTATTCAACTGTTACTGAGTGCGGGCAGGAAAGTCGAGCAGAGTAGAGTTGAGATTCGGCAAGGAAAAGCTCAAGCTCAGCTACCTGAAGGACCAAATGACCCTTAAAAGTAGGGGCCCTATACCCATATACTATGAATCCCTATATGGTATATGAACCTTAAACCCTTTTCGGGTTCATTTCGTCCTTAAGGTATGGATCAGATCCGTCTCTCTGGTGCGCTCTCATTTCGCCACATGTCCACTCTGCATGCTGCGACCAGCGACGTTGCAGCTTCCCAGAGACTCCAAAACCCCTTAATTAAGGAATATACCTTAAATCATATTAGGGATCTTACTATAATTTAAGGTATATTCCTTAATTAAGGGTTTTGGAGTCTCTGGGTTGAGGTCAAGCCGCAAATTCCTCACACGATAATGAACACGAAGCCGTTGCCGATGTCGTAGTCCGCACATATAAAGCCGCCTTTCCGAGCCGTGAACTGGCCACTTAAGGGGAACTCCAGAAAGTTGGAATATGGTTTAATGGTAGGATCCCCTGTAATTTACCTTAAAGGGGTTACGATAATGACATTCCAACTTTCTGGCTTCTACTGTAATGCTTCGTGACTACGGTGCAGGTTTTGAGGTTTACGCAGGATAGGTTCGGGATTTAGGGGCCTGCCTTCATCCCCAAATCAAGACTCTAAGGGCCCATGTACCCCCAAAGTATATACATTGAACCCAAAGTACCTGTATAGGGACTACTTTGAGGACAAACTCTATACGATTTGTGTACGTGGACCCTTAGGGTAACCTACCTGTTTAAGGACTTGCCCAAGGAAATCAGAGCGAGGAACTCTAAACCCTAAACCCTAAACACTAAACCCTAAACCCCTAAACCCCTAAACCCTAAACTCTAAACTCTGAACCCTAGACCCTAAACCCTAAACCCTAAACCCTAAGCCCATTAGAATGAGGAACCCCTAAAAGCGGAAGTTGTTCGGGTGAGCCCCACAGGCGGCTCTAAGGTCATTTATTCTAGGGTTTAGGCCTTACTTGAAGGCTCATGGGACTTAGTAAGTAAGGTTATAAGTAGGTTATAATTAGGGTAACCCCACTTAGGGGACTTATAACCCCAATTATAACATACTTACTAAGTCCCATGATCCTTTAAGTAGGGGTTCAGGGTTTAGGGTTTGGGGAGTAAGGATTTAGAGGGTTTAGGACTTAGGGATTTACAGGGCTTAGGGATTAGGGATTTGTAGGGTTTAGGGACTAGGGGATTTATCATTAGGGTTTAGGGATCAGTCGTCCAGCTCAAACCCAGAACCCTCAACACCTAAAGACTCTAAACAGAAAGCCCTAATCCCGAAGACCCCACCCAAGACCCTCGCAAGCGCTCTTCTATAGCTGGTCCTAATAACTTACAATAGTGTGTATTCAGGGTATGTTAAAGAGCAGTTGGCGGGTCTAGCAACTTGTCGGTAAGCCCTACATCATGCGGACCCTTGGGGGCGGGTAGCGGGGAGGGGGCTAATTAGGGGGCCTCGATACCTAAAATGAGAACGAAATGAGGCCAATTTCAGAAAGTATAATCCCCTACCCCCCCCATGACCACACTCCAAAGGATTTGAAACAGTCTAGAGGCCGGAATTCCGGAATCCTGGTCCAAAACCCCTACAAAACGACCCTAAACCCCTAAATCCTACACCGTAAAGCCTAAATACTAAAGAAACCTGGAGTACTCAATCCGAAACACTTAACCTTTAATTTAACCCCAGGCTTCATGAAATCTCCCTAAACCCAGCGAAACCCCGAAAAACATGAATCTAAACCCCAAAACTCAAAACACCCAACCTCAACCCCAAAACGGAAGTTAATGCGAGAAGCCGCTTAAGGGCTCGGGGCTCAGCGGACTCGGTAACAAGGCTATAACTGGGGTTGTAACTAACCTTATACTTGTACGTAAGACCTTCCTTGTAATTTACAAGTCCCTTTAGCCATGAGCACGTATCAGTCCTCCTCGACGAGCTCGTAAAGAGCATTAAAAACATCAGAGCCGCCGGAAAAAAGGAGGGGGGCGTTAGGGTTTAGGGATGAGGGGCAAAGCGCTTGTAGCTTAGGTAGGATGTAGGGCATAATTAGTGTGGAAGTCTCTAAGAAAAGGCTCTCTAAGGGGCGTAGTTTGGGACTGTACAGGGCTTAGTTTAGGGTCTGTAGGGCTGTGAGCACATCCCAACAAGCTACAAGCCTGCAGCCTAATGAGTTGACCATAATTGCGTGCACTATGCCAAGAGACAGCATTGAGTACCGTTCCCAAAGGGTCCTAGGTACTATACTTCAACAAATCATAATAGTAATTCCTAATATAGAAACCCTAGATTCTACTCTATCGGTACTTTGGACCCTTCGGGGTTAAGAGCAGCAATGAATGTGACAGCGCAGGGGAGGAGCGAGTAGGGACGTGGCCGCAGGTTCCGCGACCGCTATGCATGCGAACTACAGCGCTCTGAAAATGCAGCTGCAGTGCGGGGAGAGTCTTGAACTTGGGATTATTTGTTCGAAACGGTGTGCTCACATCGGGATTTGGTTCTTGAGGGAAGTTAAAGACAGTAAAACAAATAACACGTTTACAAACACCTCGAAGCCGCCTATACAACGCTGTAAACGGGTTCAAGACTTTTGGCCTTTGGGCATTAGCAGTTCAAGGTGCAAGCTGGGCTAGAAGAGATTGGGCTTGACGGCTAGGGTGGGTTCTTGGTTTAGGATTAGGGTTCAGGGTGTGAGGTGTAGGCTAGTTTATGGAGGCTTCGGACCTAAAGTTAAAGTTAGGGTTCAGGGTTTAGGGCTTTAGGGCTTCAGGGTCTTAGGGTTTCGGTCTCTTGGCGATCGTTCAGCTTGCATGCTAGTTGACAGGGCCTTGACCGGGCTTTGAAGTATGCAGGCAGAAACAAGTACACACTTTTATCTCATACTGGTGCCCTTGATGAACAGGTCCAAAACAAAGTATTAACGTGTGGTACTCCAACGCTAAACCCTAAACCCCAAACATTGATAAAGCATGTCTAGGCCATGGCTTGCCTTACTCTCAGCGGTCAACATCCCAGACCCTTCTGACTGATCCTAGGGCCCACGGGCATCCAGCCAAACTTTGAACTCTAAATGAGAGTTTCCGAAAATTAGGGTACCTGATTTTGGGGTCCTTCTAACAAGGATCTGCTAGTTAGGGTACTATATTAGGGTCCCCTGTTTCGGAAACTCCCAATCTACACCGCCACGAACCCTAAAGCTCTGTTCTTCAACAAATGGGCCACAAAAAAATAAAACTTGCTAAGATAGAGCTGATATATGAGGCTAAAAAGTTTGAAGGTCCCCCGTTCACTATCTAAGAAAGTGTGGGTCTGGGATGGTATGGGCTCTCGAGGAGCCTGGTCTTGCGTAGATCTTGGGCCACCCCCCGACTACCCTCTATTCAAAGGGGAAAAGCAGTGACCCGTAATGGGGACCCTACTTTATAATGGGCTATACAATGGGCTATATAATGGCTATATTAAGGGTATATACCTAGGGGTCCTTATTAAGGGTCCCTCCTTTTACCCTTGGATCTACTATATCCTAAATACCCACTACTGCTGATGGACAAAATCCTGCATTACCATTTATAAGGAATATATACCATAGTTCCCATAGTTTCGGGCCCTTAGGGTCATGCAGGATTTTGTCCATCAGCAGTAGGAATAACAAGGGCTCCCTGTTTGGCTTTGGGTAACTTAATAAGGAACCTAGGACTACAAAAAAGGAAGAAGGCTACTACTGGGCATCCTAGCTGTAACGGTTGGTAAACACTATTCCACAAGCCTCTGTTGTAGGCTTGAACTGATGCTTCTACTCCTGCTACAGTCAATTGAACTTCGTTCAAAAAAAGATCGGGCAGTGAACAGCTGCCAAGCCGCTAGTATTGCACACAGGAAGTTTGTTTCCTGGCATTGCTATACGTGTGTCAGAGTTGGTAGCAAACACAGTTTAGACAAAAAACTGCGATACCTAACCATACATAAAAGAAAACAGCTTCTGCTAAATACACAAGCAAGCATCATGCGAAACAGCTGGGCCGCTTGCATGCTGCGCAACAACGATACATGCTGTGCTAGGCCTTCGGGTCCGTGTAACGACCCACATAGTATA